TCCAACTCCTGGGCTCAAGCGAGTCTCCTGCCTCAGCCTCCCAAGTAGCTGGGACCACAGGCGCCCGCCACAACGCCCGGCCATTTTTTGGTTGCATCCATCATTGTTGTTTGGTGGGCCCGGGCTGGGGATTCGAACCCGCTACCTTAGGTGTATGTGGCTGGTGCCTTAGCCGCTTGAGCCACAGGTGCCGAGCCTCATGTGTGATTTTTCAAGGAATTTTTTTTTGTGTCATGAGTCAAATTTATTTTCCTAAATGCATTGTAGTTAGCTTTCTTTGTTGACTTCTCATTCAATTCTGCTGTGGCCAGAGAAAACAGTATGTATGATTGCAGTCCTTTTGAGACTTGCTTTATTATGTGAGACCAGCCTATGGTCTGTTTCAGAACAATCCATGTGAACTTCAAAAGTATATTTTTTCTGTATTTATTGAGTATGGTGCTCTATATATGCCAATTAGGTGAATGTGGTTTTTCATTTGTTCTGATCTTTTATATTTCTGATTTTTGTGATATGTAAGAAAATGATTTTTCAATTAGTTTTAATTTTAACTTCTTTTATTATGAAGTTTTGTTAGTATTTAAGAAAGTTTTATGTATTCAGATGTTATTAGCATTTCTTTGTGAATTGCCTATTCATACTTCTTGTGTAGCAAGCCTTTTAACTCTGTGTGTAATATTCTTCATCATATTGGAATTCAAAATTTTTGTTAAGCTTATTACTTTTTTAGCTTTTGTATTTTGCATTTCTTAAAGTTTCTCTCCTAATTTATAAACATAGCAGTCTATTTTCTTCTAATATGTATAAATTATTTTTAATTTACCTCTCAAATGACAGTTCTTTTTCTGAAATGACTAAAAATTTCTCTCCACATAATCTATTGAATAACAGTAATAGTAACTGCCATTTATTTGACTGTAACATACCGGGCATTGTTTTATGGTGGTTTATGTAAATTAATTAATTTAGTTCTCAGAATATGCTCATGAACTCTATGCTTTCTTCCCTATTTTACAGACAAGGGAATTGAGACACAGGAGAGATTTAGTGATTTGTCCAAGGTTGTTCTATCAGTTTGTGTCAAACTAGAAGCCAGGAACAGTACATTTGTTTAAAAATTTAATATAAAGTATTATTAAGCATAATTAGAGAGTAAAATACAGATGGTAAGAGACCTCAGAGTATCCTAGGGCCAAAGGACAATGCCCAAGGAAGGATAGACTTGTAAGTCGGTTCAGACCTCACTGCAGAAGATGTGTTTGCAGTCCACTGTATGGCAGAAAAGTTGCTGGGTTACCCAAGCCAGAGCTGGTCACAGTCACTGGGTGGGCAGGACCAATCTTGTGGGGTAATGATGGACAAAAGTCCCTGGCAATTGAACCTCCATTGAGTGGAATAAATATTGGGCTTTGGCTTACTACAGAGCCATCCCCATTGAATACTTGCTGTGTATATGTGC